AAGCTTTCAAGAGGGAACCTGGATTGACAGGGCGGGGAGGAGGGTGGATTCTCAAGTGAGTAATATCCAACCTGTCTAGGAAGAGCTGATGAAAAGAAATGCGGATGGGTCTCTTGTGATACAGGGGTGAATAATTGTTATGAGGATGGATTATGAGTACTGGAAAAGTAAAGGTGGATATTTTATAGCAAGGAGGAATGTGATTAACCTTTCAGTCTAGTAGCAAAGGCTCCTGGGACCATCACTGGAGAAGAACAGAAATTGGGACCCCATCCAGAGAAGCAGCAAGGCCTGAGATGGAGACAGAGAGGATGGCATGAAGAGATGGATTGGCTGAGGACTTGAGATCCAGTGAGGGAAGGGAGCTTTGTACTCAGGACCGTGGGGAGAGAGGGGCTGCCTGTGGGTTATAACCTTTGGTTGGGTGATGATGCATGGATGTGATAGTGAGTATGGCAATGAAACGATGTTTGATAGAATGAGTGTAAAGCTAATGTTCCCCCATGTAAACTATCACACAATAAAAGGGAAAAAAAATGCTATCTCTTCTCAGTGCCTGTCTCTCTAAACTCAGAAATGATCAATGTGTTAAGAGGTAATTAGATAACCCCAGCACCACCCCTGCATTAGTAAAAGTACAATGAATATTCTTACTCAGGTGGTTGATATCATCCATAATTATTTTTCATTTCTTACAAATTGTAATTTTATTGGGAGGAAAACATGCATGGCTTCCTTTTTTGCCTAAATTTGCTTTTCAGAAATAAGCAGGAGTCTTTTTTCTCTTTAGGAGAGTTATCCGGGCTGATCAAAGTTCTACTCCAACAGCAGTTAGCTGCCAGCTAAGCAACTGGTCAGAGTGGACAGATTGTTTCCCATGCCAGGACCAAAAGGTAAGATATTTATAGTCACATTTTGGACAATTTACATTTAATTTGTGTTTTAGACATTCAAAGAGAGATAAGCATTGAGTCTCTAAGGCTAGCCATCTACCGGTTTGTCTTTCTGTGGCAGCTTGCATGTTTCTGTGACACTGGAAGCTATACCAACAGTAGTTCAAATACCAGCAGGTCACCATGGTGAACAAATTCCAACAGAGCTTCCAAACTAAGAGACACTAAGAAGAAAGGTCTGGCAACCTACTTCTGAAAATTAGCCAATGAAAAACCTTATAGATCACTCACAGGAAGAGAGAAGCTCTGTGCTGGCAGCCAGGAGGCAGACTTGCAGAATGTGTCCTTTGGTTGTTTGTGTGTGTGTGATGTGCCGTGGAGTTGGTTCCGACTCATAGTGACCCTGTACAGGGTTTCCGAGGCTGTCAATCTTTACGGGAGCAGAAAGCCTCATCTTTCTCCCGTGGAACAGCTGGTAGTTTCGAACTGCTGACTGAGATTAGCAGCCCCATTCATAACCACTATGGATGGTTATATATTCCTAAGTGTTTTTGTGTACATTCCCCCTGCCCCCCCCCAAAGAAAACATACAAAACAAAACAAAAAATATACAGAGGGAAAAAAAGCAAATATCATTGAATGATATTCATTGTCATGAAATGATGAGTGTAAAACAATGGTCTCCCATGTAAACTAGCACGCCATTCACAATAAAAACTTTACAAGCAACAATAACAAATAAAAGCCTTCTGGATCACAACACAGCATTCTCTGACTCGCTTATTTTGAACACTTCATCCAGAGATCACTGGAGGAGGATATTCTGTTTGGTGAAGTAGAGGGTCAATGAGGGTAAGGGTGAGATAGATTGGCACAGTAGCCATACAATGGACTTAAACATGCTGGCAATCGTGAGGATAGGATAACTCAGGGCCAAGAAATATTGTGTTCTGCTCTGTGTAAGGTTGCCATGAGTTGAAGTTGACTCCAGGGGTGGATGATCTATCTATCATCTATCTATCTATCTATCTATCTATCTATCTATCTATCTATCTATCTATCTATCATTTATCTATCTCCCACTATCTATTATCTATATACCTACATCCCTATCTGTGTTTCTAACATCTATCATCTCTATCTATCTATCTCTCTATCCATTCATCCACCCATCCAGCTTTTATGCATACAGAGAAATTGGTTTACAGGTGGTGGTAGTGGTAGTGTGCGTGGAGTCAGTTTCACCACATAGCCACCCTGTATAGGGTTTCTGAGACTGTACATTTCTATGGAAGCAGAAAGCCTCATCTTTCTCCCACAGAATGCTCTTTCAAACATCCAACCTTGGGGTTAGCAGCCCGACTCATAACCACTACACTACCAGAGCTGGTTTACAGGTAGGCATTTGGAAATCATGGGTACATGAATGTTGGGACTGATTTCTGTCTCTTCCATTTTTTGTGTGAGGCATTATTGGGAGAGACTGCAAAAGATGTGCAGAAAAGTGGTCTTCTGCACGTGGGCTCATTTATCTCTAATGGCTTCTCTGGGTCCTGGCCAATCTACTGTCCTCTAATTAGGGTTATTCAGAGGGGACTAATGACTTAGTAACAAAATGCCAAGCTGCCCATGACCCGTGGGGAGCTGAGATAAACCAGAAAATGACTCAAGGGGCATCTCTAAGGATTCTACTTTCATAGATTGAAAAGGCAGCCACACTCAGTGGACATAGGCTTGTCTAAGTGATTAAATATATGCATATACTTACAAAATACATACATATTTAATATATATGATAGTGTTTAAGGAAAGCATTTACACAGCAAATTAGGTTCCCATTGAACAATTTTCAGAGAAATTATTCAGTGATATTGGTTGCATTTTTCACAATGTGTCATCATTTTCAGTCATTTGGTTTTTCCCTTTCTAGTATTCTACTTTTCCTGTCCTCTTACCTTCTCATCTTTACTTTCATGTAATTTTTGACCATTTGGTTTCATACAGATGATTTTTTAAAGGACCTCATTATTCATGGGTGTTTTTCTTTATTTTATGAGTCATTCAGTTTGTTAGCTAAAATCTAAGTGATTTTGAATAATCTAAAGTAGCCCCTAAGGAACTCTGGTTGAGTAGTGGTTTCGATTCAGGAGTACTGGTGTAGCACTGGAGGTTTCTGTGCTGGACTGCAAAGTCGATTTGAACCACAAGTTCAGTGGTTCAAGCTCACCAGCTGCTCTTCAGGCCCTCTATACAGGGTTGGAACTGACTCAACGGCAGTTAACAACAATGACAAAAAAAACAGCCCCTGTAGTCCTGGTATGGCACTGTAGGGTAAGCACTGAACTGCTAACTACAAGGTTGGAGGTTCAAACCCAACAGCCACTCCTTGCAAACCCTATCCTAAGTCATTATGAGTCAGAATTGACTGGATGGCACTTAACAACAGCAAAGTGGCCCCTATACTTAGTGGTATACTAAGGGAAGGGGACAATGAGGAGTGCTACACCACTGATTTTGTTTAGACTCACAGACTCATGGTGAAAAAAAAAATCACCAAATTTTATTCAGTTTTATTATTGTTTTATATACTCTTACAGACAACACACCCTGAATGGGAGGCACCGAGGCATGCTTATTCATTCTTGGTACACTTGCATTACTATCAAATCCAAATAGTCAAGTTCAGATTCTGCAGTTTAAAATCCTGGTTTTGCTCCTTATTCCCTGTTACTTTGGGCATTTAAAAATCTTTGTGCCTCAATTTCCACATGTCTAAAATGAGCATAATAATAGTACTCACCTCATTGAGCTATTATGAGCGTTATATGAGTAATTCATGCAGAGCACTTTTCTTGGCATCTGGCCCTTAGTAAATGTTCAATAAATGTTAGCTGTTTTTAAATTCACTGTCTGTGCCCTTTTCTCTACCACTACTTCTGTTGTCTTAGAGCAAGCCCTGCTCTTCTCTCACCTAGACTCTTGTACAGTCTGCTGATGGTTCTTCTCCCTCCAGACCCATCACTCTGTGAATGTTGGATAAGTTGTTCAAAATCATAAAGCTGGTAGGTGGTAGAACCATGATTAAAACCTGATTTATTCAACTACAAATCCTGATGCTGTTATTCTACCTCACCCCACTCATCCCACGCTCATCTCTGAAAAATGCCAAAGAATCCTAGGCTGTCTTTGTTTAAAAATATCTGACCCCCACACTCTCATTTTGCTCTGACATCCTATATTAGTTTTCTATGGCTAATAAAAAAAATATTTTCTAATGGTTCTGAGGTCAAAAGATATTTTAAATCAAGATGGCGGCAGGGTCATGGGCTTTCTGGAAGCTCTAGAGGAGAATCTGTTGTTTGTTTCTTCTGGTGTCTGACAACTGTGGGCATTAGTTGGTTTTTGGTCCTTCTTTATTCTTTACCTCTATGATCACTATGCTTCCTCCTCTTCTGTAGCTTAGGATGTGTTGTTGTTGTTGTTGTTGTTAAGTACCATCGAGTCGGGTCCGACCCTGTACAGGGTTTCCGAGGGTGTAAATCTTTACGGGAGTAGAAAGCCTCATCTTTCTCCCGCGGAGCGGCTGGTAGTTTCGAACCGCTGACCTTAAGGTTAGGTTGAATAATGGCAACCTACAATATATTAAAGGTGCTCTGGTAGTGTAGTGGTTACAAATTGGGCTGCTAACCTCAGGGTCAGCAGTTCAAAACTACCAGCTGTTCCACAGGAGAAAGATGAGGCTTTCTGCGCCCATAAAGATTTACAGCCTCAGAAATCCTGTACATGGTCATTATGAGTTGCAACCAACTCCATGGCACATAACAACAACAACAATATGCTAAACTACATTTTCCTCATGTGTTGCAGTTTAGTTAGCAGATAGCAGATAGCATAGGTGAATGACTTAAATTTATCTTTGAAACGAATTGCTTCCTTGGTGACTCAAAAAGACATGTATCTTGAAAGGGATATTTAAGTTACTTAAATTTTGTTATTTAAGTGAAAGGCCACCTTAGTCCCATGCTTATTAATATGTTTCTTCCTTTCAATATCATCCAGAGAAAGATGTGCATATCTAGAAAGAAGTATTATCTACTAGCTAGGAAATAAAATTGTGTCTTAATGATACCAACCACAGGCAATAGCACAGCGAAGTCCCTGAGGGTGTGTCTGTACCAACCTTTCTGCCACACAATATCTTCATTATCTGATACAAACCTAGAAAATAGGGAACCAGTGGGAATGAAAATCACATCTTCCACAATCATTCCAAGTATTGGAACCACAGGAAGAATGATACTGGCATTAATCATCACCATTCAGTAAATTATTGTATCCACCTGCCAGGACCTGTGCTAATATTTTAAGTGAATTATCTTATCTGACTTTTACAGCCAACCCTATGTGATAGATATTATCATTTTCATTTTATAAACGGAAAAACCAAGACTTTAGGGAGTGTAATAACTGCTTTTTGCCACTCATTAAGAGAATGCCAGAATGTAGATTTAAAATGTGGTTAGTCTGACTCCAAAAAGCCTATGGGCCTAACCACTCTGCTGCCTCATTCTGAACAATACTTGAGAGTAATACGTGACATTGATGGTTCCCTAATCCAATTACCACTCAGCCATCAACCCTTCATCAGTAGCCCCACTGCTGGCTACAAGAACAGTGATGATGTTGATAATTATTATCATTGAACATATACCAGGAATCAGGCAAAGTGCCCATTTCTTTACATGTATCATCACTAATTTTCACAGTAACACTCTCAGATATAGTCCCACTTGCAGATGAGAAAACTAAGGTCAGACAAGTCAAGAAATTAACCCAAGGACACATACAGTTAGTAGCAGAACTGAAATTCTAACCCAGTTTAAATGGAAATCATAGTTGTCCATAACCTCATCAACTTGTGAGGGTTAAATGAAATGAACAATGTGAAATATCTGGCCAATAGTAAACACTTGATAAATGGTAGCTACCATTATTTTGTTCATAACAGAAGGATTTAAAACTCTGATGAATATTTTTCAAGAGTAAGAAAGAAAAGCAGATCTACGTTGATGTGCTAATCACTCCTTTTATTCACTGTACTGAGGGGCAGGAGTGTGGGTAGAACATTAAAAAGCCTTGCTATTCCCCAGTTTGTCATTGTTATAACCTCTTCCTACAAAGTATACAAAGGTCTACCACTGATAATAGCTGAAAGACTAGGAAGGTAAATGGAAAGGTTTGATCTTCACCTCTTTGCTTACTCCTCTGCCCCATTTGCTAATGAAGTAGTCCGGGGGTGGGCAAGAAGAGGCGGATATGTTGCCTTGCCACAATTTGTCTACTGGAATCATCTGGAAAAGATGGAAACCATTTCTGTTCACTGAGCACCAGGGTTATTCCAGGCACCGGGCTAGGTGCTCCCTCATACATTTGCTCACTTAGTTCTCACTGTGTCCTTTCAAGGTAAGGTGTTAGAACCTCTATGTTACATGTTAGAAACCCAAAGCTCAGCAAAGGCACCTAATGCCTTATGGTCAGTTATTAAGTAAATTTGGGATCCGGGATTTGGCATCTGAACCCAAGCACAATTCTCATACCCATGTTCTTTCAACTGTAGCACAGGGGTGGAAGGATCATAAGAAATTGTGATTAACGAGGTCATCTAGTTCTAGGAAACAGAGACACAAAACAATGAAGTGTTTTACATTACATTATATGCCAATTCCTTCAAGCCGATTCTGACTCAAGTGTGACCCATGTGCCAGAGGGAAATTGTGCTCCATAGGGTTTTCAATGGCTGATGTTTGGAAGTTGATCTCTAGGCAATCTTCTGAGACACTTCTGTGTGGACTTGAATCTCCAGCCTAAGGACAGCAGCTGAACACAACTGTTTATATCACCCAGGGACTCTTGACATTACATGTTGTTGCATGAACAAATCAGTTCAGACTCATGGGGACCCTCTAAAGAGTTTCCAAAGAGTGACTGGTGGGTATAAAGCGCCAACCTTGAGGTTAACAGTCCAGTGTTTATCCTAAAGCACCACACAATCCATAGATCTGAGTCAGGAACTCACTTGTCTGACTCCTCAAACTCTTACTTTCCCAAAGCTTTCTTATGTCTCAGAATATCCTTGTATGCAACACTAGTAACTGATACTGTACACAAAATAGAAGACAGAATCATCAAACCATAGAGCCCAACATTTGTTTGCATTTGTATTGCTTCCTTTCTTCAACAGAATTTATTTATCAGCAGTCAAGACTGGACTCAGAGACTCAGATGGTCTTCGGAGCTCTCTTTGTCTCTCTCTTGGATGGATTCTTTCTATACAGTAGGCAAGATGATTGCTGGATACCTATAAGTCCCAGAAACTCCAGCAAAAAGAAATGATCTTTTCTAATAGTTCCAAAGAAAAGTCTCCAAAGAGGGCTATGATTACTCTAGATTGAGTCATATTCCTATCCCTGAAACAATCATTGTATCTAGGGAGGTTCTCTGGCCAGGCCTGGTAATACTCACACAATCTTGTGACTGAGGAGTTGGGGTCATCCCCACCTGATCCATATGAGAATATCCTAGGGAGGAGGGGTGTGACCACCAGAAGAGATGCTGCGAGGTCAGAGTAACAACTCTCTTCTATAAGTGCCTCTTTTTGTGCTGAACAAAGTTCAAGTGTCAAGCATAAAAAATCCAACTCCATTCTCAAATTACTCACAAATTAGTGGGAGAACTAGAGATATAGCAAAATGATCAATCACAGTCTCATATGATAAATGCTAGGAAGGTGGGGAGAAGGAGACCAGCTGTAGCACAGAGGACTGACTCCACCTACCTTGGGAGGTATTCTAGAAAGGGTAAACTATGAATCTTGAAAGATGAGTAGTGATTAATCAGTTGAAGAAGGGTTGGAGATGTGGGGTGGAGCCCCTGCCTAACAAGGAGGAAAACCCTAGAAGTAATTGGTCCAAATTTTTGTATGATGCTTGAAGGTAACATTCTACCTGGTGATCATGCCACCTCTGTGCATCACCATTTATGAGCACTGATCCTCTTAAAAGACAGTTTTTCAGACAGTTCCCAACCATATAACAGTTATTCCTTATGTTGAGCTGAGCCTTGCCTGCACATATCTTGGATGATTGATTGACAACAATGTGTCTGTTTAAAAATCTGATCTAGTACCGATACCGGAGTCTCCTGCAGCCAAACAAGTTTGGGGGCACCATCTGCACTGGTGATGTCTGGGATCAAGCCAGCTGTCACAGTACTTCTGCTTGTCTTATGCAAGCACAGTGTGGACAGGATTTCCAGTGTAAGACAGGTGAGTAGCATTCCAGCAGGTCAACAGCTGTGACAGTCAAATCTAAGGTGCAAAACACTTAACTGTGGAGCTTGTTAAAATGCAGACTTTGGAGCTCTTCCCTAGAGCTTGTCATTCAGTAGGCTTGGGGTCCAGATTCAGCCTTGGAAACCAGCATACTAAGTAATTTTGATGGAACTATGGAATAATTCCTGTTTGATTCATTTAGAAAATGTACAACTCATTCATTCATCTGTCCATTAACAAGATGTGCCAAGCAGCACAGTGGCTCTAAAGGATAAGCACTGAACTGTGAACCACAAGGTCAGTGGTTGGACCCCACCAACCACACTGCAGAAGAAAGCTGTGCCTTTGTGTTCCTGCAGAGATGACAGCTTCAGAAACACGATATAGTGTTGTTATGAGTTGGAACTGACTCCATGGCATTTAACAACAACAACAAATTGTGTGCCAGGCAGAATGCTGGTACCACAGAGCTGAAAAAGTATTGTTTCTGACCTCGAGGCACTGATAGTCTGTTTGAGACAGTTTTGTTGTTGCATGCCTTCAAGTCACTTCCAGTTAATAGTGACATCAGAAGAACTGCCCTATGGGGTTTCCTATGCTGAAATCTTAATGAGAGAAGATTATCAGGACTTTTCTTCCATGGAGCTATTGAGTGGGTTTGAACTGAAGACCTTTTGATTAGTGTGTGAGTGCTTTAGCATTGTACCATAAGGGCTCCTGGATGAGATTCCTACTAAGAGTCAATTAAAATATGTGATAATGGTTGTAATTGGTGTAAGTAGATAGCTCAGTGGGTGCTCATATCTGCTCTGGAGAGTCATGCTGGTTTCAAAAAAAAATACTTGAATTGCAACTTGAAATTGGAAGGGAAAAAAATGGGTTTCTGAGAAATACGGTGAAAGAAAGTAAAAGCAAGGAGATTCTAAAATTAATAATCAACCAGAATAATCCTAGTATTGGGACTTTGGGAAGACAGACAGGCAATAAGGCCAGGTGAGAAAACTCCTTTGTGTTAAATGGGGAGCTATTGGAGGGTACAATCAGGGGTGATATGGATAGATCAGCATTTAGGAAGACCACTGGCACTGCAACCAGAAGCTGAATTTGAGAGGGAGAGCGAGGGCAGGGCACTCTCTGGGAACTTCAGGCAGAAGAGAAGGAGCCTGGAAGGAGGGCAGGGCAGTGAGGATCGAAGGGAAATGGGATAGATGTAAGGGAACTTCCAGGGCCAGACTGAAGAGCAGGACTTGGTGCCCATGGAGGTGGATCATGAGGTAGAAGGATGAGTGCAGGGAGATGCTAGAAGCATCCACCCCATCTCTCTCTCTCAGGTCGTTGTCTGAAACGTCACCTTTTGTGTAATGGAGACCAAGACTGCCTCGACGGCTCTGATGAGGATGACTGTGAAGATGTCAGGGTCATTGATGATGACTGCAGCCAGTATGATCCAATTCCAGGATCAGAAAGGGCAACCTTGGGGTGAGTCACTGTCTTCTGTGAGTGATTTGTCCTGAATCATGAATGTTAGTTTCAGAGTGAGCAGCGGGCTTTCCCAGGAGGCAGTTCTCACTGTTCCCCTATGATGGATATGCAGTCCTGCCCAGGTGATATCACTTATGCTTCCCTCTACACGTCCTCCTGGGGTGGGGGCCCTTCTTTCCTTTCATGCTTCCCTACTCCACTGACCATCTCCTTTCACCTCCACTCCATTTCCAAGATCCATTTAAGATGCAGTGTTTCTGACCCAAGTTCACTTTCCAGTAGTCCTGTTCACAATATATGTTGCAATGTAGTTGCTTGTGAAGTCTTGGTATGGTGCTTTAGGATAAGCACTAGACTGCTAACCTATGACGTTGGATATTCAAACCTGCTAGCCACTCCCTGGATGTGAGTAGGAACCAACTCAATGGCACATAACAATAGCAACAGTTGCTTGTAAAACAATGGATGGTGAATTGGAAGAAAGGCCTGGCAATCTACTTCCAAAATGCCAGTCATCAAAAACCTCTAGACTGTGTGTTCTACTTTAACACACATGGAGTCACTATGAGTCGCAATAAAGTCGACAGCAGCTTGGGATGGTAGCAGGGTGATATAGTACAAATAATATAGACGCTGTTGTGGTTGTTAGGTGCCATCGAGTCGGTACTGACTCATAGCCACCTTCTACACAGCAGAACGAAATACTGCCTGATCCTGGGACACTTGAGCCCATTGTTGCTGCCACTTTGCCAATCCATTTCGCTGGGGGTCTTCCTCTTTTTCTCTGACCCTCCACCTTACCAAACATGATATCCTTCTCCAGTGACTGGTCCCTCCTGACAATATGTCCGAAGTATGACAGATGAAGTTTGGCCAACCTGGCCTCCAAGGAGCACTCTGGCTGCACTTCATCCAACACAGATCTGTTGGTTCTTTTGGCAGCCCATGGTACTTGAAATACCATAACTCAAAACCATCAATTCTTCTCAGTCTTCCTTATTCACTGTCCAGCTTTTGCATGCATATGAGGTTATTGAAAATACCATGGTTTGGGTCAGGTAAACCTTAGTCCTCAAGGTGACATCTTTGCTCTTCAACACCCTAAAAAGGTCTTGTGCCACAGATTTGCCTAAGGGAATATGTCATTTGATTTCTTGACTGTTGCTTCCATGAGTGTTGATAGTTGATCTAAGAAGAATGAAGTCCTTGACAGCTTCAATCTTTTCCTCATTGTTAAGAATGTTGTTTATTGGTCCAATGGTGAGGATTTTTGTTTTCTTGACATTGAGATACAATCCATACTGAAGGCTATACTTTTTGATCTTCATCACTAAATATTTTAAGACTTTTTCACTTTCAGCAAGCAAGGTTGTATCATTTGCATATGGCATAGTTAAAGAGTCTTCCTCCAATCCTGATGCCACATTTTTCTTCATATAACCCAGATTCTTGGATTATTTGCTCAGCATACAGGTAGACTAAGTATGGTGAAAGAATACAACCTTATCACACACCTTTCTTACTTTTAAACCATTTGATGTTCCCATGTTCTGTTCGAATACCTGCCTCTTGGTGCAGGTACAGATTCCTCATGAACACAATTAAGTGTTCAGGAATACTCATACTTCACAATGTTGTTCATAGTTTGTCATAATCAACACAATTGAAAGCGTTTGCATAATCAATAAAGCACAGGTAAACATCTTTCTGATATTCTCTCCTTTCAGCCAAGATCTATCAGATACCATCAATGATATCCCTTGTTCCATGGCCTCTTTTGAATCTGGCTTGAACCTCTGGAAGTTCTCTGTCAATGTATGCTTGCAGCTTACTTTTAGTAAAACTTTACTTGTGTGGGATATCAAAGATATTGTCTGATGATTTCTGCATTCCGTTGGGTCACCTCTCTTTGGAATGGTCACAAATATGCATCCAATCAGTTGGCCAGATGTCTTTCAAATTTCTTGGCATAGATGAGTGAGTGCCTCCTGTGCTGCCTCACTTTTTTGAAATATTTCAATTTTTATTCCATCAATTCCTGGTGCATTTTTCTTTGCCAATTCCTTCAGTGCACTTTGGACTTCTTCTTTCAGTATCATTAGATTTTGATCATATGCTACCTCTTGAATCGGTTAAACATCAACCATTTTGTCTTGGTACAGTGACTCTGTGTATTCCATCTTCTCTTTTTTTAAAAAAATTTATTGTGAGGTTTACCTGGGAGAACATCATTTTTACACTCATCCTGTCATATTTTGTTTCATTGCAATGATTACAATCCCCTCCATGCATCATCAAATAACCAAAGGGTACACCCCACAGGCCCGCCCCCTGGCCATCAGCGCACAGCCCCTCTCCCTCCCTGAGTCCAGTGTCCCCAGCCGCTCCATCTGTCCACATCATCATCTCTGTCTCCATTCCTGGCATCACTGCCTCTCTGGGTAGGGTCCCACTCTCCATTCTTCTCATTTGATGGTCCCAGGGACCTCTGTTCCTGGGCTGCAAAATCAATCACTCCCCTCCTTTTGTCAAAAAACATCTACCTCTGTATTTTCTACTCTCACAGTCAGTCCTGATGGCAATTATTTATTATTATACCACAAGAGTCTTATCCCCATTTCCTTTTACCAGCCCGGTCCTAAAAGATTAGAAATCATTCAGTGGAGATTCTACCTTCCCCTGCCACATCTGAAACTAAACTCCCTCTTGAAAGCTTGTAAGCCAGTCACTTCTTGCCTTTATTGGCCCTCCAATTTTGAATAGCCAAGGTCTAAGTTGCCCTTCAATTCTAGTAAGGCTTGCTTCATATATCTTGGTACTTTTTCATTGGAAGCATAAATATTTATTATGGTTATGTCATCTTGCTCATTTGACCCTTTGATCATGAGATAGTGTCTTTTTTTTTTTTTTTTTAATGCTGGTTTTTGTCTTAAAGTTTACTTCATCAGAGATTAGTATTGCTACTCCTGCTTGTTTATTGTTGCAGTTAGCTTGGTATATTTTTTCCATCCTTTAACTTTTAGTCTGTTTTTGTCTTTGTGTGTAAGGTGTGTCTCTTGCAGGCAGCATATTGAAGGATCTTATTTTCTTATCCATTCTGCCATTTTCTGTCTCTTCACTGGTACATTGAATACACTGACATTCAATGTTATTATCGATAGGTATGAATTAATTGCTGCCATTATGTTAAATTTTTGGTAGTGCTGTTTGTTCCTTTGTTCTGCATGCCTTCTTGTGCTGAGATTGTGTTTTTTGTGTTATTCTTGTCTGTTTTTCCTTAGTTTTCATGTTTGCTTGTTCAGCTTGGAAGTTCATTTTCATGGTAAGTTGTGAAGTATTAACTTTCTTTGGAGTCACCTTATAATCTATTAACTTTTCTCTCAATTTAAGAGAATCTATTGTATCCTGTAATCTACCTCACCTCCTCACCACCTGGATCTCTGTTTCAACATTTCCCCCTTCTTTTGACATTGATATTATTTTGCTCTTCGGTTTACCTCCAAGCTCCTTTGAATTTGTTTTTCTGGTTTTATTCTGTTCTGGACTCTGCTATCCATCGTCTGAATTTCAGGTGTTGTTGACACACCTGTTAATCTCTGGTTGTTATCTGTTCTTGTTGGTTTTCAGTCCAAAGAGCTCCCTTTAAGATGTTTTGAAGTGCTGGATTAGCTTTGACAAAATCTCGTAGCTTCTGATTATCCTGGAATGTTTTGATTTCACCTTTGTATTTGATTGAGTTTTGCTGGATAGGTGATTCTTGGTTAGCCGTTTTTTTCTTTTAGGATTTTGAATATTCTCCCCATTGCTTTCTTGCCTGCATGGTTTCTGCTGAGGAATCAGAGCTTAATCTTATTTGCTTGCCTTTGTAAGTAACACTTCTCTTTTCCCTGGCTGCTTTTAGGATTCTATCCTTGTCTTTGATTTTGGTGAGCTTGATTATTTATATGTCTTGGTGATTTTCTTTTGGGGTCTATCCTTCCTGGGGTACGTTGGGTTTTTTGAATGTTTATCTTCTCACCCTTCAAAATATTAGGGAAATTTTCTTCCAGAAGCTCTTCCATTATCTCCTCTGTGGACTTCTGTGATTATTTCTGTTCTGGAATTCCAATAATTGTTAAGTTGTTCCTCTTCATGTTATCCAGCATGAATCTTAGACTCTTTTCAGATTTTTAAATTCTTTTTTATGCTTTATCTTCTATCTTAGCAGTATTGAGAGATTTATTTTCCAGCTCACTGGTTCTGGCTTCCATCTCTTCAATTTTGCTCCTTTCTTCTTTCAGTGTATTGTCCATTTCTGATATTTTATTATTAATCATCTGGAAATCTTTTTGCAGGTTTTGAATTGTTTCAAAATACTTTATCGATCTTGTTTGATTGCTCTTGTAGTACTTTCCTGACTTCTTCCTTGTTTTCCTCCACTCCTTTTCAGAGCATTTGAATTTGTTTCCATATTATTCTTCTGAATTCCTTCTCATGCAAATCTCAAACCTGCTCTTCCTTTTCTGGAAAGCCTTTGTCTCCAGCTCATTTGTCTCAGTTACTGTTTTCTGGTTTTGGACATATTTTGAGATCTTTTGTTGTGTTTTTTTCTTTGGTACTTTCCAGTAGTTATGTGGGTTTTTAATGCTTAAATGGATGTTTGTAGCTGTGTTATTAAGCTTACTGGTTGTCTTCTGGGGGATATGATCAGGAGATAGGCTTCCCTTTTTGCATGTAATGCTTAGCAGCTGTTATTGGCTCTTGTCTCAGTGGTGGGATATTATGGTGTATGCTTGTAGCTTGGCTATATGGTCACGATTGCTGTCTCTTACTGGATAATGTATGGAGAAAAAGCTCCCACCTCCAGGAAAAATGTGTGATCAAAAGGATCAAAAGCAGAAGCAATTTAAAAGCAGAGACAAAAACTATCCTTTTGAAACAAAAATAAAACTGTGGCCGACTGGCCAGTAGCCTTGCTACACAGGTAGTGTGTGTGCACTATAGAAGCCTCCAGCAGT